GATTAAAAAAATGATTTTTTAGGAAATAATTTTTTTTTTTTTTTTTTTTTTTTTTTTACTTTTTCGCAATGGAAACAAATTTTATAACCAATTGTGGAAAAAATATCACTTTAATGGACAATTTTCATATAAAACAAAGTTAAACGAATAGAAAATTTAAAAATTTTCTAGATGGAAAATTATACCAATCAAACACACTTGAAATCATTTTCCCTACAAAATATTTTCTAGGTAAATCTTTTCCCTGTAAAATATTTTCTTTCCACCCATTTTCCACCCTTGCAATCAAACGCACCCTAAGTAAATTATTGGAAAGATTTGGTGGTTTATGTGAAGTATATTTTGTAGGATAAAATTAGCAGGGAGTAATTTTAAATTGAACAAGATAATTGAAGGACGAAAATATAATTTATTTGAAAATGAAATTTTACGAAGTCGATGCAATAAAGATTTGATACAATGGCTGGAGAAAGGAAATACTCTTCAATTCCACACACGTTACAATTAAAACATTTACACGTGCAAAATGGTGGCGGAATCATCCTATTTTCCTATTATTTAATTTTACTTGACTGCTAAGAAACTCTAAAAATTTCCAATTTTTTTTTATATATTTTATTTTGTTTTGCTTACTCATTAAAGAGAATTCTATAGAAATCCAAATACGCAACAAACTCATTAATAAGGTTCGGCTGTTCCAATTAGTTTATCTATTTTTGCTGGAATCTGATTCTCTCTCCTCTCTATCTTTCATTCACCTAAAATTCAACAGCAAAATTTCAGAAAACCCAGAATTGAAACTCGAAGCTGGAGATCGAAGCCGTACGAGAAATTAAAGAGAAACAAGGGTTTAATTGTATGTATTCTCCTCTTATCTGTTTCCTTTAGTGCTTATTATTTGATGTGTAAAGTCTAGAACAATGGGGTTTCTTGTTATTGATTTAGGGAAAAGGGCGAATTTTCTTTGACTTTGATGAATCTCAGATGCATTCTCTCTGTATACACATACATACACCTAATCTTTTCCTCGAATTTTGTATCGACTTATCAGTTTAAGTTCTATAAATTTTCGATTTTTGAATTCTGGGATTTGGGATCTTTGGAACAGGAAACATTTTATAACTAGAATCTGGTTGGCAATAATATTTTTTAGAGCGGATGATGCTGGATTTTGCGAAGCTTCATGTTCAGTTAAGTGATTATCAAATGTAACTAGAAAGTTATGTATCAAACAATTGAGCACAAATATTACCATTATATTCCACACTTTGCGATCTACACACTTCACGCTGCTACACAGAGTGCCAACCACACACGGACGCCTTGCCCATCTCGCATATGAAAACTTTATCCTACACTCTGACTCACTAGACAACACAATCTTTCCACTTTCCTTTGTAAACAATGCATTATGGGCACAAACTCTATGCATAGAGACAAGTTGACAAACTCGAATAATTCAATGCCCTCGAGATTTTGTAATTATAGCCGAAATGTTTTGACTAGTATGAATAGTCTGTATGATCTATTTCTTTACAATATAGCAATTGGAGGCATTACTCTACTTTTTTCATCCTTTTGTCTTGTTGATCTCTTCTCTCTTAAATTTCAGTGTGGATTTCGCTCAATATTACCTTTAGTTAACTAGCGTACATAAAAAGAGCTGAAGTACTGAACTTGCTGATTCTATATATATATAGAGGACCGATCTTTAAATATATAATCATTTTGTGGTGCTTACCATGTACTCTAGAAGATAATTTCATACTTCTCCATCACTACTTGTAATGGAAAGTCGGGTGGAGCCCTATAATGGTAATTATGACCCCGATTCCTTAGTATTGCTTGATATTCTTGTCATTATGTTAATCGGAGACCCGAGAGAGCATGCATTCCTACGAATCATAATCTGATTATGATACTAATGGCAATATAAACTCTTGCATTTCTTAAATTGGTGTAACAACCTCAAATTGTAAAACTTGGTTGAAAATGTAGTGCTAAAGGGCACTAATCCGGTTGGAGTGTGGTTTATGTGCTGGTGGTGGGGCTGCAGGAGCAGCTGGTTACTTTCTCTCTCTCTTTTTTTTTTTTTTTTTCTTTTCTTTTCTTCTTCTTTTATTTTAAATACAAATAACAGTATACTTTAAGTAAAAAATTAACTTATAACGGTTTTTTGGATGGTTTATATAGATATGGAACAACAATAAAGGACCTAAAGGTTGTGGACGAACTTACTCCTTTATAAAGTTTGGATAGGAATGAAAGCTGCAATTTGTTTTACTTATTGGTGATAACAATTTTCACCACCAATTCATTGATGCTTGGTTCATTGATTCTTCATACCATCACCTTTCTTGCTTTCTTTGTGGGTGCAGAGATGTCCTAAGATTTCTTGGAGGAATTCCACAAGCAATGGAAATGGAGGATATAGGCTATCATTCAAGAAAATGGGAGGAAATGGATATTGATGCTCTGGTCAGGATATTCCAGTGTTTTGACATCTTTGGGTTGACCTCTGGGATTGGTCAGGTTTGTAGCACATGGCGTTCAGCAGCTTGCGATCCTTTAATCTGGAAGACTCTTGATTTATCGATGCTAAAGTCAAACTTCATTATAACCCCATCAGAACCTTATGTATACGTGGATGGACCGTCTGATAAAATACTGACCCGAGTCTTGAAGATTGCTTTGAGCCTCAGTCATGGAAACATAACAACCTTGATTTTCCATTATAACCTATTTGTCAGTGACGATCAATTGACTTATACAGCCGAGAGGTATATTCATACTCACTTTTAATGTACTTAGTTTCTTCTTTGTAGTTATGTTTTTTTTCTTTTGCACTGGACTATTAAAGAAGAAAAAAAGCTACAAATCTTGTTTCTTATAGAATCCAGTATTAAGTACTTATTGCTAGTTGATCAAGGATTCTAATTCGGCAGTTGGATGATGATGTCAACCTATCTATACTGCAGGTGCCCACGTCTGAAGCGTCTAGTTATGCCTGCATGGAACAGAATAAAGAAGACTGGAATATGTAAAGCTATTCGCGTATGGGAAGACTTGGAGTCATTGACAATGCCTAGCATATCGAACCCTCCATATCTAATTGAGGAAATTGCCAAAAATTGCAAGAAGTTTGCTGAACTGAAGATCATGGGCCCGTGCCACATTTACTTTGCGTCGACACTTGCTGCATTCCTCCCGAACTTAAAAATCTTAAGCATTCGGTGCTCTATGATATATAAGGAAGCCCTTAACATTGTCTTGGATGACTTGAAAGAGTTGGAAGTACTGAACATATCTCACTGCGAACTTATAGAAAAGCCTCCACCTTCACCTCGAAGAGTCCTCAGGCAGCTTGACGAATCAATTCTAGAAAAAGCTAGGAGGCTGCGGAAATTTATAACGTGCATGAATGACTCATGCATCACGTGCCAGCGCACGAGGTACGACGAAGGGCTCATGAGGTGGTACAAGTATGAAGCAGATTTCTGGAAAGTAGATGAAGTGAAATCTCTTGCAATTTGAACAAGTTGTTTGGAAATGGTTAAAAATGTTGTATTGATCTCCTTTTCATACAATTTTCTGCAACTTTTAGAATTCTAAATAAGATCTGTGTAGATTAATGACAAAGAAGTCATCCTTGGGAGACTGGAAAAGGTTTAACATTTTTGTTACCTGCTGCTCTATGTAAAGTTTACTCGTCAATGCTTAATATACCAAGGGAATTTCAGATATGAGGTGTTCTGCTGGTGTTTTTTTTTAATGCTTTTTTTTAACTCTTTCATTTGTTTGTTTCTTGGTCGAATTTTTGAAGTCCGTTCCAATTTCTTGAGGGTAATTAAAAGCCTTTCTTGTGTTGCTTAGCCCCGTTGGCCCCCATTAATTTATAATGCATTTTTCTCTCTTCTTTTTAATCGCACATTCTTCAATAAAATGATATTATATGTAAATTAAAAAAATTTCCTTCTTTTTCAATCACACATTCTCCAAAAAAATATTATTTATCTCATTATATATTGAAATAATAGAGCTTAAACAAGGACTTAATCTTTGCCATTGTTTTATATCGAGATTTTTTGGAATGTAGTATTAGATCAATGTAAGTTGGAAAAGAAAAACTCTTGTATCCTCCAAAGGCGGATTTAGTGTAGGAGCAATGGGGTCAACTATCTCCACGCTCAATTTCAAAACCTTTTTTGTACAGTCTAAACTACAACTTTTCTACAGGTATTGGTTGTTGTCACTCTCACTCTGCAGCAAACACACATATTGCCTCAACAATTTAAATTTGCCCCCACGATTCCAACGACACGTTGTTCATGCATTGAGAATGGTATGCAACAACAAAATTGTTCAAACTTTATCCACAATTACTATTTACTTATTTATCATTAAGTTCTATTTATTTATAAATTTGTTGACCCCTAAAAATGTTGCCAACAGATGTCGGGCCCACTCGTACACGTGCAAGCCTTATCAGTACGCTCGTGCCGTAGAACGGTCAAAAAGGCTCCGGAATCGAGGCGTGGGAAGGGCTCGCCGCACGAGAATTCAGAGTTCGGGCGTCCAGCTAGGATGGAACTACGATTGTATAAGAAACCAATCGATAAGATAGCAAGATTCGTGTTTGTAAAAGGCTGGAAATCGAGAACAAAGTGTTTCTAAATATTTAGATATTGTTCTTTGCGATGCCTTCCACTCCTTTGTTTAGAGAATGTTTTCATTCCCCCTTTTGGGTTACATGGTGGGGGTATTTACAGTGTTACAAATGAGATTGTGACTTTTGGATCTATTTACACGTGACCTCATCTCCTCGGCCAAAGCATCGCATCCTAGTTATCTAGTTGACTTCTCTAGCCTATCAAAGCATTTAATACTCTTACATTAACAAGACAAGACACAAGATACTTTGCACCAAGGTCACATCAATCATTCAACTAAAGATTTTCATCATTGGTTGCTTTTCACGTGGGTCTTCGGGGGCTGTTGGAGAGATGCTGTCCTCGCAATGAATAGAGCCTGGGAATGAATAAAGGCCTCAGAATGTGCTTACGCTTGGGCCTCGGAATATATTGGGGCTTCGAAATACACGTCAGAGGCTAAGAAAATATTCCCTGGCCCAAATGGGCTGGTCCCACCTGCCCAATGNTGAAAGGCTAAGAAAGTACACTCTGGCTCAAATAGATCGGTCCTACCGGTGAATTATGGTGCCACGTGAAGCTTCCTTTTTACGAGTCGTAACAATAGTCCCCCAAGTCCATGTGTGATTATTTATGCCATGCGTGGACTTCGATAATAAAGTTAGGAATAATTTTAAATTTTTCACTACTCACATCAGTCCCGCAAGTCCAGGCGCAGTTATTCATACTGGGCATGGAATTCAAGAAGTGGTGCAATGCGTAGAGTTGAGAAGGCTGCCTTTTGGACGTTGTAGGTCCACGCTGAGCTGGTCTTCCTTCAAGCGAGGCGGTTCCCTGAAGGAACTGGCATCTGCTGAATTTCTTTGAGGCAAGGCGGTTCCCTGAAGGAACTGGCCTCTGCTGAATTTCTTTGAGGTGAGGCGGTTCCCTGAAGGAACTTGCCTCTGCTGAATTTCTTTGAGGGGAGGCGATTTCTTGAAGGAACTAGCCTCTGCTGAATTTCTTTGAGGCGAGGCTATTCCCTACAGGAATTGGCCTCTATCAGATTTTTTTTAATTTCCTTGAAGACGAAGCGGTCCCATATAGTGATCTACGCTTGTCATGACGGTTTCGCGTGTTTCCAAAGTAGGTGGCTGCATCGAAACGACGTTCGATAATCGTACAATCGTTCGCATTCAAAGCGTCATCATGGCTAATTATTTTGAAAGTGTTGTTGGGGAGTGCACACACGCGCCAGGCCATGCTGGTGAAGAGTACCGCCGCTTCAGAATGTATTGAAGCAGGGTGGCCTACCATGAGTTCTTCGAAAGGATGGAGGAGTTGCATCCGGGGCTAGACATCTCCGAGCTGAAGGCTGAATTCATTGAGGAGGAGGTTCCTAAGACCCCAGCTGAGGAAGGCGAAGTAATTGAGCTTGAATCTGATAATACGCCAATCGAAGCCCCTCAGACTATGGAAGCACCCCAAGTGCCTGCTGAGGCGCCGAACTCTGATGTTCCAGTTCCCCCACCCCCTTCTGAATCTTAACTTTTGTAAGGCCCGTGGCCTAATCATAACTTGTAATTCTCCTTATTTGAATGAATAAAGATTGACTTCATTTTGCCTTATTTGTGTTATCTATTACGCATCTTCACAACTGTTTACGCTTCGTCTAACTGAATGACTCGACCAATTTAATAATCAATTGAAGTGAAACTAAGTATTAACCTTTATCAACTGAAATTTGGCCAAGACTTGATAACTCTCGAACGAAGGCTCTGAAACGCTTCCTATTCTAGATCTATTTTACTTATGCTTCGAAAGGCTTCTCTCCTTAACGTCCAACTTCGTCCAAGGGGAGGCTTGTGGTACACCTCGGAGTTCAAACGAGATGGCCTTCTTTTAAGGTTCCATCATCTTCTCCGAGGCGTCCACGATTCCTAGCTTGGTGGATGGTTCATCCAAGTAGAGGCTTCTCCATTTGACGTTCAGCTTCATCAAAGGGAGGCTTGTGGTGTACGCCTCGGAGTTCAAACGAGGTGGACTTCTTTTAAGGTTCCATCCTCTCCTCCGAGGCGCCCACGCTTCCTAG